GGCTTACCATACAAACCCTCTTAACACTTTCCCTAGTACAGCCAAGCATGCATTTAGTCCCTGTCTCAGTAAAACCCTTGGTGTGTGACCATTCAAATGAAAGCTATTAAGCAGTACTTTCATGTGGCACTGTTTATTATGCTGTATACAAGGTGTTTCTAACTTTTAAGTCTGTGGATGAAACCCTAGTGTGTGACCATTCAAATGAAAGCTATTGAACAGTACTTTCATGTGGTACTGTTTATTATGCTGTACAAGGTGGTTCTAACTTTTAAGTCTGTGGATGAAACCCTAGTGTGTGACCATTCAAATGAAAGCTATTGAGCAGTGCTTTTAAACAGTGCCATTCCTTCAGACAATTTCTGATTGACAAGATCACATGGCCACCTGTCACAGCTGCAAACTCAACCTGGTCACTTCTCAATACCACTCAAAAGCTTATCCTATCGTTATGAGTGAGTTGATTTTTTAGATTATGTTCAATATACCGGATGTCCTAATGCCTCAGCTTTATGTCTCTCTTCCACTGAGATAAACGCCATCCACATCCTGGTGGCAGCCTCACCAATCAACGGCCTGAAACAATATAAAGGCGCAGGTCACGCTAGGTCACGTTCGGTCACAGCAGTTCATTAATGACATGCTAGATCAGTTATGTCAAGCTTGACCAGTTATGTCATGCTAGGTCACGCTAGGCTAGTTATATCACACTATTCGCGTTAGGCAGTTGTCACGCTAGGTCAAGATAGGTCAGTCATGCCATGCTAAGTCACGTTAGGTTAGTTATGTCACGCTAGGTCAGTCATGTCATGTTCGGTCACGGTAGGTCAGTTAAAGTATGTCACGCTAGTCACGTTAGGTCAACTATGTCACGCTAGCTCACGCTAGAAGCTTACCTGACAGATTTGAGATCCAGATTTAAATTCGTCGCTTTTGGCCTGAACAACAACAACAACAGAAAGACTTTAACTTCAAGAAATCATCTTCAGAAATTTTTGTATAGCAACAACAACAAAATGGGAGTGCTGATAGCGCTGTGTGTGGGCTCTGATATCAACATACTATGTAATTCCCCTTACTTGCGTCCTACAGACGTTGGGAGTGAAAGAGTTAAAAACTAAAGGAATATCAGGGGCACCCAACGACAAAATTTTCCTGTTGGTGTCGGAACGTCGTTTTTACGTTATAATAGTGCTTTTTGTGCAGTTCAATGGTTTTATTTTTAAACGCTAAGAAAAATGTATCTGTTCGGATACGTTAGCTGAACTTTCAAACTTCAGAAAATTTTAGGGATTGAAATCTTTTACCCGAATTTATGAGCTGAATTTTCCTTTCCGAAAATCCTAGCTGATCTATTTTTGTACCCAAAACGACATTTTATCTCTCCGAAAACAAAAGGCATTAATTTTCCAATATTAAGAAAGTTCGAGATGACATTTCCCTAACCGAATATCTTAGGCGATTATAGGCCTTCCGAACAGATATTCCACCGAAACGATCCGTTGGGTGCCCCTGGAATATCAGTTGATCTTACATGTGTTCAACAAAATCCCTTGAACTGTAAGAGGTAAAACTTGGCTTGGGGAGAGCGACCTTGAAAGCATCTTCCATTGCCTGAAAAACAATATATCATGTAATATATCAAACACGAGAGACAGTAACACCGAGAAGAGAGTTGAAAATACGACGCGCAGCGGAGTATTTTTGACGAAATTCGAGGTGTTTGGAAATGTGACGAAACACTGTCTCGAGTGTTTGATATATCTTCTCAATCGAAACTTAAACTAAGGAGTAAACGGAGAAATAAAATCGTAAAAATCTCTGCTAATTAAGATCAGATATCCAAACCTCCGACACGGTTATGATTTCCTTTTGTTTTAACTTGATGAATTATTAATGTATTTGAGAACTCACGTTCACTCTCTCATCTTCTTCGTGCCTACTGGCACATAAAGCGGCATGAATTTGCGAACACAAGATAATAAAGTTTGTTGAAAAGATCTTGTGTGTACACCGTAAATGCTAATGTATAAGTCGCACCCACCTCTCTTTTATTCTCTACAAATAAGTTCCAGACCCTCTCGGCCGCAACAGCAAGGAGGTGGGCACTGGTACAGCTTGACTCTTCTTCACGTTCTGACACATCTGTATCAACTTCCTCTGTCACCTCTTCACCAATATCAGGGGTACCAACAACAGCTACGTATGAAAATAACATTGGGTTGGAATCGCAATATTATTGAAACAACCTTCAAATGGTACCAAACAGTGCCACATGAAAGTACTGCTCAATAGCTTTCATTTGAATGGTCACACACTAGGGTTTCATCCACAGACATAAAAGTTAGAACCACCTTGTACAGCATAATAAACAGTACCATATGAAAGTACTGCTCAATAGCTTTCATTTGAATGGTCACACACTAGGGTTTCATCCACAGACATAAAAGTTAGAACCACCTTGTACAGCATAATAAACAGTACCACATGAAAGTACTGCTCAATAGCTTTCATTTGAATGGTCACACACTAGGGTTTCATCCACAGACTCAAAAGTTACAACCACCTTGTACAACATAATAAACAGTACCACATGAAAGTACTGCTCAATAGCTTTCATTTGAATGGTCACACACCAGGGTTTCATCCACAGACTTAAAATTTGTTTATAATAAGTAGTTTTGTTAAGCGCTGTTGGTTTTTTTAGTAGAAACGGCGCTATATAAATAAAGATTATTATTATTATTATTAAAAGTTAGCACCACATTTATTCATTTAAGGTTTGAGCTGGGAGTGAAAGGTTAACTTTCAAGTGAAACAGTGTCTGATAGTATGGCTTGTGATCAGACACGTTATGCTCAAAGTGAAGAATTCTCACAGACAGTAATTTTCACTTTGGGTTATTTTACTTGAGTTATGTCAGATCTTCATTTCCAAACCTTGTACAGTATAATAAACAGTACCACATCAAAGTACTGCTCAATAGCTTTCATTTGAATGGTCACACACTAGTGTTTCATCCACAGACGTAAAAGTTAGAACCACCTTGTACAGCATAATAAACAGTACCACATCAAAGTACTGCTCAATAAGTTGCCAGCCACTCGCCCCAAAAATAGAAATAAAAAACAAAAAATTGTTTGTCAAGTTGAGTTTATTAGAATCACCTTCAAATTTGTTCTTTTCTCTGCCTCTGTTGTTGACACTCATAGCAAGAGACTTGTGAGTTCCCATAACAAGCAGCCAATGGCACAGACCGGCTATGAACTCTGGCTCGTTGTTTACTGCTGCAAACACCAACTTGTGGTTTGTCGTCAGAATATGAAGGAACTCCAACAGGCTTGTTTGATCTGACGAGATGAAGAGGAAGACAATTAGCACACAATCGACATACAGTTGAACCCCTATTAAGCGGCCAGTTATCAAAGTCTCGAAACTATTGTGATTGAGATCAGGGTACATCATAAGATTTGACCGCAATTTTTCAGCTAAATCAGTACTAAGAAAAGAAATGTCCCAGAGAGCTTTCTTTTACTCTTGTGAGCAACATAATTGACGTAGTTGAGTTGCCTGAGGCCGGATAGTTACGCCATGTCATTATTGCAAAAGTGTGAGCTTTTCAAGAACAAAGAACTTATTTTCGCCAATGCGACATTTCCGCAAAAACTCGTAGTAAAATGACGACGGCTACCATGTTTTTCCCGCCAAAATGACTTTTTACTATTTGTAAATCTCTACTCGTAGTTATACTAGTACTAGAATCTAAGGGGGGATTCTTTACTCCGGGTCCTCCCCCCCCCCCCCACTGTTCCCCCCTTCTAAAGGTATCTAAAGGTCTCTGTGCCTAGTGACATTTAGTCTCGTTACCAGCTCACTCGCTCACCTGTCAGCCGAGCAAGAGGCCTGGACAGCTGGAATAAGATAGTTCTGTTGAGTGAGTGGTAAGCACTGTCCAACGATACAGACTGACCTGATGGTACAAACAAAACAACAAGTGTCAGCTCTTTATCTGGTTTTGCTTCTGTCGAGAACGTGAGAAGATCTCACCTTTCACAGCTTCAATCATGCTTGTTAGGAAGTTAAACACAGTCTTGTAACCTTGAACAAAATTTCCTTGGAAGGAAAAATATAATTGAACAATGTTAAGTTCGAACAAACACGCTAACACATTGGGAATAAGAATTGGACTCCCTCCTTTTCAGAGCCGCTCAACAGGCCGGTGCTTAACTCCAGTTTCAGTAGCACGAAGCCGACTAGGAGTATTGCTACTCCCACCCCCAGCATTTTGTCGCCGGAACCCATTTATACTCCTGGGTGGAGAGAGACACTATGAGCGGCCGGTGCTCGAACCCGGAACTCCACACTCTCTCATGTTAATTTACTGAGGCTGAGGATCCTTGTATCTGTTACACTTACCAATCCATAGTTTATCAACAACTTTGGAAGCAAAGCTGAAGGCATTTGCCACAATCTTCACATGGTTCAATGACCCTGCTGACGGTTTGTAAGTAGATTTCCTCCAAGGAAATGATCAATCTGAGCACATAATACTTCTGTTTGAAATTCCGCTTGCTGTGGCTGGGTACACTTGAGTGGATAAGACTGAAATGTTCATAAAAAGAATGTTAGAAGTCTTATTTATGATGCTTGGTAAAGTACACTTAAGGTGGTCTGTACTTGGGCCAAACTGGCCAACACTGCCAGAGCTTATCCGGTTTCTGTAGCATGAAGCCGACTAGGAGTATTGCTACTCCCCCTGGATGGGATGCTAGTCCATCGCAGGTTACCCTCCAGTATTTTGTCGCCGGTACCCATTTATACTCCTGGGTGGAGAGAGGCAATAACAAACGTTCCGCATACTGGTAGGATTAACAAAAAATGACCATCATTTATTTCCAAACATTCTCGCTCATCGACAAATCTAATCCTAGAAGTATGCGGGAGGTTTGTCACATTTGAACCTAGTTATATGGCCTAAGCTCCCACGAGCCTCCTGTACAGGTGTAGCTCAGTGGTAGAGCATCCGACCAGTGTGTGGAAGGTCATAGGTTAGACTTCTGTTGGGAGAACTAAGAATATTTTTCCGAGTAACTTGTGTCACTGACGGATAAACATCTTTCTCATATTTCTACCAAGCTTAAAAACAATTAACCATCATCTACTTTCCAGAGACGTATATTCTTTCTCACCTCTAAAATGGCATCAATGACTCCTGACTCTTGGCTGAGGTAGGCGAGGTGAGCGAATCTGTCATGATCACTCGGAGGAAATCAAACACGCACTTCCTTGCTGGGTGGGAAATCAACAAAGTATTGGACAAAAACGGTGCAGGCTCAGCCTCTCCATCATTTTCACTGTCTGATGCAAGCTGCATGTAAAGAAATGAATGCTGTCATCGCAAATTCTGATATTTAAACTTATTATCACGGGAAATTGAAACACCAGAGACAGTGTTTCATCAGATTTCTAAACACCAAAAAAAAGTTGAAAATATGACGTGCAGTGGAATCTTTTTGACGAAATTCAAAGTGTTTGGAATGTGATGAAACACTGTCTCTCGTGTTTGATATACTTTTTCCTGACATGTGTCAACCTTGAACAAGGCTAAGGTAATTATTACCGTAGTACGTACCGGGACAAAGGAAATTATAAACGATTGAATATAACAACAAGTCCCCTGTGCATACCCATTTCTGGATCAGTACCTCTTGAAACCTTGCTAGGTTTCTTCTCTTAGGAAACAAAACAGCGACAAGTTTCTCGAGGAACTCTTGCGAGGTGCACACCACACTAAAGCTGGAGATATTACGATACAGGTAAAGCAGGAACTGAACCAGTGTCACAGGATACTCCCGCAGCCACGAGTTATCTGTTGTGTCTTCCCATGCCTGTAGAATAATTGGATTATTTAGAATCAAGGATTGACTGCACATTCTATACAATGTCTAAAGGCACCTAACCCCAAAATGTTTTTTCTAAAAAATTAACTTATTGTGCTGAGCTGGTGACAGGATATGTTTTCAGAAATTTGAAAGCAAAGAATCGTTCGAGTAACTATGACTTTAACCGGCACTCCATCAACATAGGAGGAGGGGGGGGGGGGGGGGGGGGGGGGGGGAGGGGGGAAGGGGAGCAGGAACCTGGGAGTAAAGAGGACGGGAAGTCTACCAGAGGTGGGAAAAGAGAAGGCAGGAAGTGGTATTCACAAGGTGGTGCGAACCGGGAGAAATAGGAAAAATTTTTGCAATATTTTACAATATGGAAAGCACGAAGAGGTGGGAGTCACTAAGAAAAAGGCAGCAATCAAGAGTGAAATTTATGGGAAACGGGAAGTTCAGACCTCCCTGCCCCCACCCATCAGAGGAGAGAGCTTAGTGACAAGATGTGTTTTCAGAAAGTCACAAGGAAAGAATCGCTTGTATAAACGACATTAGCCAGCACCGAACAACATAACAAGACTCACTTCGTTGACCGTAACATGTGCCATAGCCAGCAACACATGAGCCGCCTCTGGACAGTATATGTGGTATGAACCAGGCTCCTGGAGACTAGGGGTGGGGAGTTTGACTCCTGACGCTGACGGTGACCAGAACACAGAGGTCAAGCTGTCCCAGTCAAATTCAGCACCTGCATACACATCTGAAACAAACAGTCCCTGTATTAACTAACAAATTCTCCTTACCAGTCACCATATATTTCTTATCTCTAGTTGGGAGATTTGATTGTCATCATAAGTAGACTGTAACAGAAAGAAAGAACGTCCAGGAAGAGATTCCAAAGTAAAAGTGTGTGATCAGTAAACAAAGTACTTATTTACTCACCAAGAGGTACCCAGTATACCAATGTTCAATAATAATAAAGATGATTGCTAACTTATAACTTCTTCTCTGACAAATACGCAATTATAACAGTAGCTTCAAGGCAGGCATACCCAATGTCTACCAGTAAACAACATACTTATTTACTCACCAGACACAGGATACCCAATGTCTACCAGTAAACAACTGACTTATTTACTCACCAGACACAGGATACCCAATGTCTACCAGTAAACAACTGCCTTATTTACTCACTAGGCACAGGATACTCAATATCTACCAGTAAACAACTGACTTATTTACTCACCCGACACGGGATGACCAAGGCAGCAGAGCAATCACAAGATGATAAATCTCAGGATTGTCAATATGTTTCGGTAGCAGTTTGCCCAGCATCAAAAATCCAGGAACACAGCACACCTCCCTGTTGATCTGATACTTTTTGTCTGTTATCGGCCACAGAACCGACATTAAAACCTGCAAAACACAAATTATGACCATGACTTTTTAGTCGAAAATTTTAGGAATTTTTAGAACTTTTATTAATAATATTTTTTAGCCTTTAATACAGGTCGGACACTGTAGGTATGGACTCCTGTTGGCAGAACTTGGAATTTTTTTTCTGAGCAGCTTGTGTCACTAATAATAATTGATTAACAACCTTTAACAACTGCATAACTATATGGAGGTTGGGTGCCTGGGATGTCCAGGGACTTCCACTGGAGGCCAGCCAGCCCCTAGACCGAGTACCACTCCCATGGCTGGCAATCCCCACAACCCAGTCATGAGCCCCCACACAAGACTTCCAGGCCACTGTCACACTGTCTAAGTAGTGAAAAAAAGGGGGAGGGAGGGGTGGGCGAAAAGACAACTTGCAAAGCCCCAAAGATAACCGACAAAGACCGCAACTTGCAGGCACTGAACACGTTGCAATGACCCCACCTGAGGAGGCGACGAAGCCTCGCGCTGCTGACCGCTGGATGGTACAGAAACCAGCTCTTTGTTGTTAACTTAGAGTTAAATACATTTAACTACATTCTCATTTCTCAACTTCCGGTTTGGTCGCCAATCTGACTGGTTAATCAACATGGCTCATTCCCAGTCTCGTCACCTGTTTGGTCAACAATAACTTGATACATAGTAAGGAGAAATTTGATGCAGATCACACTCTCACAACAGTTAATACCTGCTACAACGTAAGTTGTCTGTTCAGCATGATGTCCGTGCCATCCAACCAGTTACCACTGCCAAGACCTTCCTGAACCTGTTCAGCGCAGGTGTGCTGCTGAGCATGGTTTACCAGGATACGGGTCGCACGCACCACAGTGGTGTTGTGCAGATGAGCTTGTAGAAAGAGAAGGAGCCAGTCGAACCCCAATGTTTCCTGAATGGCATCTGCAAAACTGCAAAACATTGAGTGTTATAGTGAAAATCAATAAGACAAAATATACACTTGCTGAATTGTATAGCTCAATGGTACACACTGGATAAAGTCGTCACAGGCCTAGTGTCCCACAGCTGCCAGAGCTTATCCAGTTTCCATAGCATGAAGCAACTATCTTTAGTTACTCTTATTAATTTTCGCATATTATTGAAAAAAATTCATGAAAATTAAATACTTGCGAAAAAAAAGGTGCCGCGGAAATTAAAAACGCAAAATTTAATACCCTATTACACAAAGAAAATTGACACTTTGATATTGATAAAGAGGTCCTTTGTTTCGGACAAGTCTATATTAGCTATAGTGTGACTACTCCAACCAAGGCCACCCAAGAAAATTATGTGCAAATTGACCAATAGCGTGACTAAATATAATATCGTGACATAGCTCCTTTATAGTTCTGTTGCCTTACCTATGATCCAGTTCACCGCCTTCAGCATAGATGAGACACAGAATGAGCTCAAGCATCACATTACGCAAGCAAATGCGTCGTGGAGACAAAGTCTCCTCTGTCTCCCCTCCCTCAGTATTGCTGGCTTCAGTTGCCGACGCAGCATCCAGTCTTATTTCATTTTCATTTAAAGGGTGACTTGATAAAGTTGACACCAGGAAATTGGCCAAACCTGATAAAAGAAAAATTTATGTTAGAAATAATATTAAAGATTTATTTCAAGAGATGATGATCTAAGAGAAGGATTCCCTGTGCCCCATGATAATTTTTTTGAAATCTATTAATAGTTTTGACAGAAAAGGTAACACGTTATTTTTATTTCCTTTTGATCGAGGCTCCGACATCATGTTACTCAAACTGACCAATCAAGTACCACTCTTAAATAGCTCAGCTACATAATGAAAATTAGAAATATTTCAAAAATTTATCATTGTAAGACCCACTCGCTTGAGTAGCCCCTTAAAATATTGGATGAATCAGCCATTAGGTGCGTCTGTTCGAGATATTTTGAAAGGCCCTTTTAAACACCTAAATGACAGTTTTCCCTACCCTTTTCTATACTTCAAATCATGAAATCCCTACCCTTTTATACACCTCCAGCCTGAAAAAGGTACCCCTTTGGGTGGAGCCTCCCCATATAGTCCATTATAGGGAGTACCCTCCCCCCCCCCCCCCCCCCGGGATTTTATTACGTTGGTCTCTTACCTAAGCAGGTTCTTCCTCTCAGTTGTGTTACTTAGTAGCACTGATAAAACGCTGGCAATAGTGTGCGCTGTCGAATCAGTCACACTGTCATCCTGAAGGACAAACAGCAGCTTCGGCACCAAGCTCAGTCGCTGCATCAGTTCAGCATTCCTTACTGATTCACTGGTGAAAAGAATAAAGAATTCCTCAACAAACATTGCTATACTTTTGAAGAAAGTAGGTGCAATTTATCATGTATGATAAAATGCTGAAGTAACTTTTAACAGACCCAAAAATTAAAATCTACTTGAATATCTTTTAATATGTTATTCCATTTGAATGACTTTTCTTTGCTTGTCAAAATACACATTTATTTAAATTTTGGTTCTTTTGCATTTATTTTGTAGTACTGTCAACCAATGCACACAAACAGAAAGTAAGCCATGTTTACCTTCCTGGACCCAAAAGCTCCAGAAAGTGTGAGAACAATGATCGCTGTAAGTCTGCAGGGGCATCACGCCACACCTAGAAAAAAAAATTCACACATAGTTTTATAGGCATTAAAAATAAAGACAAGACAATGATGTTAACTTCAAATAGTTGACGACATCAGTCACAGGCGTTACTTTCTAGAGCATCTCACTGGTTTTGTGGGAGGAGCAGTGGCTTAATAGTTAG